TACACTGACTAATAGGTTTCTATGAACTACCGATATTTTATCTTTATAAAAATCATCTTTATAAAATATTTTATCATTTTTGTTTGTTTTAAGCATTTACAATCTTTTTTTTTTTGAGGAAGTCATGTGTTTTAAAAATCATTCAACCCCTTTATTTAATTCCATGTTATTTGAATGATTAATATGTAATTTTTAATGAATATATATATATATATATATATATATTTGATATTTAAAAAATGTAATACATTTTTTATATTTATTTTTTTCATATTTATATATAATAATTTTAATATTTTCATATATATATATAATTGTTTTATTTTTATAAAAGCACAAAATTCTGGCCAATAGCAGGAATTTGTATTGTGCACCCACCAACTATGCAGGTAAGGTTTAAGAATATATAGAGCTATTACTTAATGGAAAAACTTTAAGATAAATACATATCTAATGAACTTTTATTTGGAGAGCATTTTCCATTGATTTCCTCTATACATGCAGCTGCATATGAAGAGGTATGTTCTTCCACTCCTTCTGTTCTTTCTATGGGTTGAAGAACGCTGGATTGGGGATGGAGATTAACCGGGTTAGATGTGGGTTCTCCACCGGTGCTTTCTTACACTGTTTATACAGACAGAAGCTCAGTGATGCCACAATCAGCATCAGGACTCCACACACCACTAACAGACTGTATAAATACACCTCTGTGTTTAAACCCATCCGGACCGAGGCACATTTAGGGCCTGATGATCCTGCGCCGTTCACGGCCTGTAAGCAGATATGATAAATGCTATCCACCTCCAGATCTGATATGAACACCTGACGGACCGCAGAGCTGAAACTCAGGTTTTTCTGCGTTAAACCCTCGTGTTGGACACCTAACAAGTACTGCGTTACCAGTGAGTACGGCGCACACCATGTAACTAGCAGTACTCTGTAAGTGACCGCCGTGACCGCGAGCGAGGTGGGGCTGTTCGGAGGCTGCGAGTCTGAGGTCACGCCAGGACAGATGCATGTCGGGTTGGGTCTGTTGAAGCAGGTGTCTTGGAGGTGAACGCAGGGGTCAAAGGTGCAGTTCGTAGACTCGGTTGCGTTCTGTCCATCTTCCTGATTTTTATGCTCCATCTCATCCACTATCATGGGACTCTGTGTTGGTGTTTTGGTTGAGAACTTTGTTTCTTCCAGTGAATTTGGAGATTGTTGTACTGTAGGAGTGGTTGTTGTACTTGATTCCAGAGTTTTTGGAATGAAAACTCTTGTGGTTAAGGTTGTAGTGAGGACTGATTCAGTAACTGCAATCGATGGCATTGGGATAGTGTCGTTTCCTGAACTGGAGTTAAAGATGTCATCTTTTCCAAGATCGACATCTATATGAACACAAATCATTTGTTTTTAATACTTTA